TAATAAATTACAAGAAAATACAACAGGGTCTGCATTTTTTTACTTGGATTGCGTAACAAGAACATGACCAATTTAAGTTTATAACTATCAATTTAAACAAAAATTTACCGTCAACTACAGACGTTGCATCCATCGATTCCGCCATGTTTCTCATTGACACCTCGGAAAGAAAATTTCGAGTTTCCCCACTCGTAATAACAACTTTGTGGTGGCGTTCAACTCGTAAATACGATCTATCCGACATGACTTGAACACACCATAAGTAATTGTTGGTTTGATTGTGGTCTTAGACGTTATACTGTCACCTATTGGCTTGGATGGCAAATCATGCAAAAATGTTCAGATACTGGATGCTACTGTTGCAATATTTGTCACCATTTACCACTGTTTATTCTGCAACAATAAGTGTCCGATAGTGTCCGTTTGCTATTGAATACAGTGTGAAACAGGCCATGTGATTTCAGCAGGGCGGTTAGCACAGCACAACTTGCATTATGCAGAATAAAACATTTGCTAGGCCACTAATACCACTAATACAGTTTTAGAACCTATTTGTCAAAAGTACCATCCATTCTTTGGTTGTATTTTGTTTTATGAAAAAATTGTGCACCTTTATTACACCTCTTGCCATGTTGAGCTGTTGTTGGAGTCCATGCATTGAGCACAGCTTGTGTGTGTTGCAGGTGTGCGTGTTTTGTTTCAGGTCGCTGTGGTGCTGGTGCGCCGCTGTCTGGGAGAAGGACGGCTGCGAAAAGAGTGTGACGGACAGATGGAAACCCTGGAAAGACTGCGAGGTGTTAAACAGCGTGTTCAACATGAGCAGGCTGATGCCTTTATCCATGAGGTAGTATTACTGATTATTTCAACTCATCTGAATAAAGGCCTGTTCACACCCTAATGAATCTCTGTATGAATTGCATGCAGATACCCGGTTAGCCTGAGAGCTTAGCCTATCCAACACTCATCTGCTTTACACAATTATGACAATATTCACAACAATCTTTAATGCAATTTTGTGTTAAATGTGTAAATATTTCAGTTATGATCAATGTTAAATTATTTAATATTGTTTAACTTTATCAAGTGAATTTTTTGTCCAGTTTATTTTATTATGCACTACATTGTAAGTATTTACAATGCTTACATTATATTTATATACATACTTTAAATTAATGTTATGTGTGTGTACTTAGTTTAACTATTAGTTGATAAGAGACCTGATTTCTCACAACACCAGCTCTCTTATCTCTATACTCTTGTATTCGGTGTTGTTTGTTAAACACCATAGTGAATGCAAAAATCTGAAAACTGAATATTTGAAAATATTTAAATACTGTTTGACTTCTTTCTTCTCCTGTGAACAGGGGTAACTGTCCAAAACTGCGACCTACTGTCATGAATATGCATTTACATTTAGACCGTCTGCTGTTTTTACGCATTAAAGGGATAGTTCACCTAAAAATGACAATTACCCCATGATTTACTCACCCTCAAGCCATCCTAGGTGTATAAGGCTTTCTTCTTTCAGACGAAAACAGTCGGAGTTATATTAAATAATGTTATATTAAACAAGCTTTATAATGGCAGTGAATGGGTGTTAAGATTTGGAAACCCAATAAAGTGCATCCATTCATCATAAAAGTTCTCCACACTGCTCCGGGGGGTTAATAAAGGCCTTCTGAAGCAAATCGATGCATGTGTGTAAGAAAAATACTCATATTTAAAAATGTATAAACTGTAATCTCTAGCTTCCGCTAACTGTTGGACTTCTTTACTCAAAACCACTGTTACACCCTCAGGTATGTTCGGTGTCCCTGTCCTGGGCGGACCTGCAAAAACAAACTGAGAAAGAGCTGGAGAAATGGAAAAAAGAGAGACCAAACTCGACCTTTGACCCGCGAGGGCGCTGTCACGGATACAGAATGGCATGGGAGAGAGCGCAGGACAAACAAAAGGAACATGAAAAGAAGGAGCGACCGAAGGGAAGCCTGACTCTTCCTCTCATGCGCTCACATTCTTCTCTTTCTCCTTCAGTTCTGCGCAAGAAATGGAGAAAGAGGAGCAGCAAGACGGATACAGAGGAGTGGGACGGAGGGGGTAGAAAATTCTCACAAAGTGTGATGGAGGAGAGCGATGACGAGGAGGTGAGGAGGAGGAGTGTGTGTGGTATCATTGGGGAGCAAAGGGCCAAAAGGGACAGACTAGCGGACGAACTCTGCACACACAAAGATCACAGCACACATCCCAACATCTCAGTGGTGGTGTCCTCAACTATTGACTGTGATGTCTTTGAGAAAGAGCATACAGAAACATCTTTGAACCAACAGAAAGATAATTCAGAAACAACACGAGGTGAAGAGAAAGACAGGACCGCTGGGTGTGAGGTTGAGGAAAGCATACAGACACATCATCATATAAAGGACACAAATCAAGATGCACAGAGTACAGAAATGCAAGGACATCAGGTTGAACAGAATATAGAAAAAGACAAAACTCATGATGATCAGAACACAGAAGCACCAACAAATAAAAATGAACAGAATACAGACAAACAGACGTGTCAAGATGAACAGACTGTGGAGACTGAGAAAAATTTAGAGGCATGTGGGGAAAGTACATCACAGGAAGAAGACATACAGACTGACTCCAGTAAACAGGAAGAGGAAATACAACCAGACAGCAACATCCAGGAAGAAGAAATACGAACAGAATATTGCAAACAAGAAGAAGAAAGGCTGCCAAACATCATAGTGACTGAAGAAAATGAGGAAAATATCCCAGAGAAAGAGATACAGGTAGATGTTGTCCAGGAGGAAGAGAGGTCTCAAACATCTAGAGATCAACATGAAGAACATGAACATTTGGAAAGGCCAAAAGACAGTTTGTTCATACACACAGCTATAGAAGAAGATGAGGAGACTCAGCCTATTGGTGAAAACCGCCCTGATGCAGACAAGGAGGAAGGGATTCAGCAAGAGTTTGATGTTCTCCCTGAGGAGACCACAGAGATATTAGACCCTTTAAAGATGTATGAGGAGAAAGATGACAAGAGATTGGAGGAAGACAGACAAGATATAAGCTTAAAAGAGAGTGACAGTCACTCTCATAGTGCTTGGAAAGAAACAGTGCAACCATCTGAAGCAGCGCTAACGTCATCCTCTTTAAAAACTGAACAAGAAAGTGAAAGAGAGCATCTGGACGGATCAGCAGATCCACTACAGCAATCCCAATCAGGCGAACAAGAGCACAATGACATGGATGCTACTGTTACTTCTAAAGAGTTGGAGCATTGTCCAACAGATCCCACTGTGGAGGATGCAGTAGGATCTGGCAACCCAGAGCAAAGTGAAGTGGATTCTGCTGATGGCACCATCATCCTTGAACCTCAGGATGCAACAGTAGCATCTACACACTCTGTTGGCACATGTGGTAATAAAGAAATCAGTGAGATCAATCACAAAAGTAGTGAAGTAAATGAATCACCTGAAACTGAAAATATAGCATGTTGTGAAGCCAATACTGATGAATCAAGCAAGCTCACAAACAATGTAGAGGATGATATCTGTAGACCTGTCTATGCGGAAAGCAACGAAATACATGCTGCTCCTGGATCAGGAAAACCTGAACGCAACACAATAGACATCACTGCCGAATCTGGCAAACTAGAAAGCAATGGTATGGAAATTGCTGCTGGATCTGGCAACCCAGAGACCAACAATGTGCCTGTTACAAGTGAATCTGGCAACCCAGAGAGCAACAATGTGCCTGTTACAAGTGAATCTGGCAACCCAAAGAACAACACTGTGCCTATTACAAGTGAATCTGGTAACCCAGAGAACAACACTGTGCCTGTTACAAGTGAATCTGGCAACCCAGAGAACAACACTGTGCCCGTTACAACAGGATCTGGCAACCCTGAATGCAAAATGACAGATGTTACCACTGACACTGAAAAACCAGAAAGCGATGGCATGGAAGTTGCTGTTGGATCTGACAATTCAGAGAGCAATATAGTTGGTTCTCCTGTTGAAAACCCAGAATGTAATGATGTGCAAGTTACAACAGGATCTGGCAACACAGAGAGTAATATAGTGGATTCTGCTGTTGAATCTGGCAACCCGGATCACAAAGAAGTGCATGTCACAAATGAATCAGACAACTCAGAGACCAGCAGAGAGCATGTGACCACTGGATCTAGCAACCCAGAACACAATGACGTGCCTTCTACAAGTGAATCTGGCAACCCTGAGAACAATATAGTAGATTCTGCTGTTGGATCTGGCAACCCAGATTACAAAGATGATCATGTCACAACCAGATCTGACAACTCGGAGACCAGCAGAGAGCATGTAACTGCTGGAACTGGCAACCCTCATAACAGTGAATGTGCAATACCAGGAGACAGCCAAGGGTTAGAGTCCCTCTCTTCAAAATCCCCAAACGTCCCACCAGCTCACCTCTGCGTGCGCAGGACTTCCAGCTCGCGGGTTTCCTATCCCACAATCCTCTCTGAGGACACCTTCAAAGAGCCACAGCAGCAAGAACACACACATTCAGAACAGACAACAGACACACCAACACAAGACACACACGCTCAGTCCAACTCACTGACAAAGGCAGGCACCCCAAAACGTCTGGGTCTGTTTCGCCGACTCCGAGGGGAGACCAATAAAGCCCCCGTCCCCAAAATCCTCATCCAGGACTTTAGCAATAAAGAGGAGGGGCTGACAGCGAAAGAGAGGAGGAGGAGAAAGAGAGAGAAAGAGCTAAAAGAAAGAGAAGAGAAAGACAGAAAGAAACAAGAGAAGGAAATGGAAAAGGACAAAGACAAAGAAAGGAAAAAGCCTCAGACAAGAGGAAGGAGCTTCCAGGTGCTCAGCAGCAAGGGTGCTGATAATGCCGTGTCCCCTGGGAACAGTAACTCTCAGACATCTCACGCCAGGAGAAACTCTGCCCCTTTTTCTGACGGATATTTTTAAATAATCAGAGACTCGATCACATATTTGTATTCCGCAGTGGGAGTGAGATGTTTTAATGTGACTTGTGCAATGATTTGATGTGGCTTGTTATATTCACTGCTTCATCTCTTGGTTTAAAACCATAATTATTTTCATAGAAAAATAAAATCAGGGGGAGATTTGTGTGTAAATGTATTCAGCAGTCTTTGTGAGGTTGGATGTGGGAGTGTTTTTTCCACATCCTTTACGTCCGAGTTCAGTCGATGGGCGGTTATGATGTTTCTGTCTGATTTTCATCTTCACTGTCACTTGCAAGCACTTCCTGGCTCTGCATCGTCTGATTGGGCAACTGAGAGGGAGTGGGCAGAACTGAACCGAAGAAAAGCGAACAAAACTGAAAGGAATGAAAGAAAGCAGGGACTGAATATTAGTGAGATCTGGGCATTGGGTTTTATATTTTTAAACAAATGATTCATTTAAATAATTATTGTACCTTTTTGTTGGGAGGTCCTTCTGCAAGTGCTTCCTCTTCACTGAATGAGTGCTTTCTGTTATTGGAGGGTCGTGGTGGGGATGCGGGTGCATGTGATGGTCCAGGTAGTTCGCTGGTCTCCATGGCGATGAGAAATGAGTCCATGTCATCGCTCATGAAGTCATCTGGTGGTTGTTCTGTGTCAGGGCTATGGGAGAAAAAGTATTAAAGTAACAAATATAACTCAATATAAAGTTTTTAAGATTATATTCCATATTTTATGATTTTTACTTACTGTTTTGTGTCAGAGTTGACGTGGTTCTTTGGATGCGAGTCCTCTGACAGTGTAGCGAGGACAAAATTTGCCTCCAGAACACTGTCTGTTACACTCAGGATAACTGGACTAAAAACACAACCACAAACACACACAGGTGAGTATACACAGATACACTGCTGTTTAAAAGTTTGGAGTAAATAAGATTTGTTTTTAATAAATACATACTTTTATTTAGCAAAGATGCATTAAATTGATCAAAAGTGACAGTAAAGACATTTATAATGTTACAAAAGATTCAAATAAATGCAGTTCTTTTGAAATTTCATTTCATTAAAGAATCCTAAAAAAAAAAAAAAAAATCAGTTTCCACAAACATATTAAGCAGCACGATTGTTTTCAACACTGATGATAATAAGAAATGTTTCTTGAGCAGCAAATCAATATATTAGAATGATTTCTGAAGGATCATGTGACACTGAAGACTGGAGTAACGATGCTAAAAATTCAGCTTTTAATTACATTTGAACAGATTTTAAATTTTAGTAATATTTAACAATATCACTGTTTTTACTCATCAAATAAATGCAGTCTTGGTGAGGCATCTTTCAAAAATATTTGCATATCCAAACTTTTGCATGGTAGCATACATATCAATTTTAAATATTTTAAAATAAGCTATGTGGACAAAAAGTGAACTTGGGCTAGTTCATAAGCAAATAGAAACTAACCTGCCTGGCTCATCAAAATACATAGAGACTGGAAGACCAGATGACTCAGCAAATACAAGCAAACCCTGATGGAAAACCAGAGAGACAAAAACATTAGTTTTAATGCTATAGCATTCTATGGTTATTTTAATAGCAAAATCAAGGTTAAAATATATTCATATATAAAACAGCTAATAATCTATTTAATATGTTTAAGACCCATTCTTGATTGTGCCCTCTACAGACACCTTGGCAATAGAAGTGCCATTGGCTAGTAATTTATTTAAATTTACTTGACAGAAAAGTCTGAAAATGTAATTAAATTTGACCCATTTTTTGTTTTTACTATAACAAAAATCCCTTTTTTTATTTTAAACAAATGTTACAAATCTTTAAGGAAATGTAAAACATTTTTGGCTCCAAAATAACTTTTTTTTTTATTGCGCATTCCAAGTAATAATCAAACTGCAGTTGGGTTATTTTGATTAAGTAATAATAACTTAAACAAATACAGGTAATTTACTTTACTTTCATTGAAAGTATGTTTTTCTTACATATTAAAAGTTTGTTTTATAGCAAAAGCAGATAACTCCACATTTCATGTTTTAGAGTTTAAAAAAACACTTGTTTAGTCTTTGTAATCTCCTCAGATGACAATGTAGAAGATGCCTGACAAACGTTGTTGTTGTTGTGATCATAAACTGTATGGATGTGATTACACGCAGCTTTTCCCTCACCATTGTAACGCGCTGCTTTTGCAAGCTTCCGTGAAAACGTTTCAGCTTTTATTTTCCTTTTTCGCCCTGAAGAAGATATCACAGGTTCATCAAATTTGTCGAAATGATCCATCCTCGATCACTTTTAGTCAGCTAGCTTTGACGAAACTCCTCTCAGCTAGCATGTCTTTTCAAGGTGAAAGTAGCCTTGTCACCTGACCTGAATACAGCGCGCTGATTCGCTAAAATGGACTTATCGGCTTCTGTTCAAAAACAACAAGGGTGCTTGTCGGCTTCTGCAGTAAAACGTGAACTCGCGATGCCTTGAAAGTGGACAAAACTGGCTTTTTTTGACAAAATGTGTTTAGGGATCAGATCGCGCTATATGTGGAGAATAATGCACGGCAATCAGCTCTTCTTTTTTTTTTTAAAGTGCCGTTTATCGGTTTTTGCAAATGAACTCTTCCTATATAGATCCAATCAAACTATTTGCACTAAAAACCAGTGTGTTTATAATTAAGACAATACATTAAACTAATATGATAAGAAATGCCAGTTTGCAATATCAAGCAGCATAGCGAGCTGTTTTGTACAGATAAAAGTAAATGGATGCGGATGAAACCGGAAGCCTCAACACATTCGGGTTACAAATAGCTACACTCAGGGTAAAAATAAGTTGGATGTTGGGGGCTTAAATATTGTTTCACTCAGATATTTGTCAAATTGTGCTAGATTTGTTGTCTTTAAGGCCTGTCTTTAGGTGTGAATATGTGAATGTTTGTGTAAGAACACACTCACCCTGAGCTCTTTGAGGCAGAAGGTGACGCTGGTCTGAGTGCCGACGGCAAAATGATCAAACTCCTCCGAGCTCAAACACAGTTCAGTCATCATTGCTCTGAGAGAGTCTGAGAGAGGAAAAAACTTTGACTTGATTCGTTTCATGCATATCATAAGAATATAGTCTGACATGACTGATACCTGCATCATCCTCCACGTGGTTCCTGAGCCACACGCGGTCACTGCTCACTGACAGATTCACCTCGTCCAGAGACGGAGGGAAATGCAGAACTGTGTCCACCATCAACCTACAGTGGACATCAAAGTACATCAGAAAATGATTAAACAGACTCTGAATGGGAATGCGAATGGCTTGATAATATTGAGGTTATGAGGTATTAAAATGAATGTAAACCTGGGTTGAGCCTGTAGCACGTTTGCACAGCTCTCTTTATCAAACACGGCCTGCAGACTCTCACAGTCCTGAAAGGACAAATTGTGGGTTTTCAAGAGCCCTGTAACAAACACACACAGTTTAGGTGATCATACTGTAAAATAAGCCATTTCTATGCAATATTTTGAGTTTATTTAGAAGAAAAAATGTATTACTGACTGATTACCATGCCATAATAAAGGTCAATGAAGTCAATTTTAATTTGTATAACACTTTTCATAATACTCACTTCAAAGCAGCTTTACAAAAAATCACAATGTTTGTTAATATTTATACTATGTTCATTCCTCATAATCTCATTTAGCAGATTAGAACTGGCCGATAATATAGTTACACTCCGTGACGATATAAACAATAAAGCATTTGAGATTGTCTCGCTTTATGTGAGTATGCTGTATGTATGCAATCAGGTAGGCCTGTCGCAATAATCAATATATCAATTTATCGCGCAATATATGTACATGACCTCAATAACGTTTGGTGACGCAATATATCGCCCATTATATTTACTTAAAAATTAATGTCCCCATGTTTAGTACATTCCACTTGCGCTTGTGTCTTTTACAGCTTCTCGTACATAACGTGGTGTAGTCATGAGGTGCTAGTTCAAATTAAAAAAATGCTTCTACAAAACAAGTTGCATCTGCACATATGGCCTTGTTTAGGGATCTGTGTCTTTGTGCATACGGACATCTGACTGCTAAGTAGTGATTGTGTTTTTCAGGAATAGTGTGCACCCTTAATTTACAGAGAAAAGAAGGTCAGGGAAAAATCTGTAGATGGAAAAATCTGCATACAAGTTCTTTGTGCATTTTTCTTTTTTTCTACTTGTTACTTTGCACTTTTTGTTAGAAAATGTTTATTTACTATTTATTCAGGTTTTTTAAGGTATCTAATATTTTGATACTTCATTTCCATGACCTAAATATTCTTAATTTTGTTGTCATTTGGAAGTGTGTAGGCCTTCTTGCATTATTATGCTGTTACACTATGATTTTATATTCAGTGGCATAAAATGGTCTTTAAAATGACAATAATATCGTTTATCGCAATTATTTCTAGGGCAATATATCGCACAGCAAAAAGTTGTTATCGTGACAGGCCTACAAGCAGGCAAAGTTGACCACTTGCATATCCAACTTTATATATAGAGCTGTGCGATGATAATATACTTGACATTTAATCCTACTAACAAAAAAAGTGTTTTCAGCAGACAGTGTTTTTACCATGTTTACAGTGCAGAGTTATGGTCAGTCGACTCTTTTCACTGTTCAACTGAATACGGCATTTTTCTACAGAGCGCTCCAGAGACGCCAGGGACTTGAACACAGCCTGAACACTCTGAAGGACACAAGACAAAGACAGACTAGCAGGAAAACACTCCCATCAAGACGACTTTGCTGTACATTGCGAATTTCCTTTTTACATTTTAGCCTGCCTGAAAAAACTGTGCATGCAAGAGGAAATTACTAATATATATGGACACATTCTAGTGATGAATGGACAGGTATTTAGCTCATAAAGACATGAAGAGGAACTGCAGGGATGGAATGAACAGGAACAGGAAATGTCACCTTGATGGGCATCTTGCAGCGGAAGCTCTGGTCTGAAGCAGCCTGATATCTCTGGAAGAAGAGAGGAGACAGCAGGAAGCAGGCGAAGGCTGACCGGGAGGAGTTGACCGACCGTAGGGCCAACTAAAAACACAGGACACACACAAGTCACATGACCTCACAGCATAGAAAATCATATATTACACATTATTCCAACACCTCACATCAGGCTAAACAATCATAAACACATACCCCATCCTCCACAGGCTCCAGATACAGCTCCTCTCCGATTCTTGACAGGGAATGTATGGCTTTTGCTAAAACTACAACAAGTGTGGATCAGTATACTTCTATTCATAAAGTAATTTTATACAAGTGCATGCGAAGCCTGTTTAACGTTACACGTCTATGTTACGCTAACGTTGCGCCACTTAAGTTTATTTATATTAAGTTACTCTCACGAGTTATTACCTTTCACGTTTCCTCCGGTTACAACACAATCCATTACGTTTTGCTTGTGAACAATATTCCTTTTAAACAGAGTTTACATGAAGTATCCAGCGCCAGGAGCAGAATCTTTAATGACAAACCACGGAATCGGCCACATGACGGCAGTGGCCATTATAACGCAAGAAATTGATCGTTAGGAGCTGTTATCTGTTATCGCGTAACATATGGTACATCATTCAGACAAAAGTAAACTTGCTATAAGCGGATAATTCAGGAATTTGGCAGGTGTGCGCCACTGTTTACTTCGAATCCGACACGCGGCGCGTGTTTTCTGCTCTGGCCAATCAGCGCGCGAGATCTCGCGTTTAGGGATATACAGCATTTGCGTCATAACAAAGCGCCCACATACAAAAGGTTACCTACAGTACATGAAACGAACAGCATAAACATGTGTTAGGAAAGAGGTTAAATATGAGCAACAGGTCCACTTAAAGTTAAATGACATAACGACAATGTTAATCATAATACAATTCCCGTGACAGCAGCACCACCTCACGATTTATATTGCCTATGTTAAACCGTAAAATGTATAGTAATATAATAATAGTATGCCGCATTCTCACTTTCACAATAACACCCGTTCAAAAAAAAAAAACACATTAAGAAGAGGAGCTTAGACTTTTCTGGCAAATTACACTGTTGCATATATAAAATTGAATTTTTTTAGGTAATAGTGTGTATTTTAGTGGAAGTTAACAATATTGTTTGATACAACACCATCAATCTGTCATTAAACTATTTAAAGTAATTAACTCAAAAGGGTACATCATTTTACATCATTAATCTAATGTCTGATTTCACATTACCATAATTATTTCATTGTATAAATATAAATATGAATATAAATCTAGAGTAATCCACCTAAATAATACCATAATTACTATAATATATATGGACACATTCTAGTGATGAATGGACAGGTATTTAGCTCATAAAGACATGAAGAGGAACTGCAGGGATGGAATGAACAGGAACAGGAAATGTCACCTTGATGGGCATCTTGCAGCGGAAGCTCTGGTCTGAAGCAGCCTGATATCTCTGGAAGAAGAGAGGAGACAGCAGGAAGCAGGCGAAGGCTGACCGGGAGGAGTTGACCGACCGTAGGGCCAACTAAAAACACAGGACACACACAAGTCACATGACCTCACAGCATAGAAAATCATATATTACACATTATTCCAACACCTCACATCAGGCTAAACAATCATAAACACATACCCCATCCTCCACAGGCTCTAGATACAGCTCCTCTCCGATTCTTGACAGGGAATGTATGGCTTTTGCTAAAACTACAACAAGTGTGGATCAGTATACTTCTATTCATAAAGTCATTTTATACAAGTGCATGCGAAGCCTGTTTAACGTTGCACGTCTATGTTACGCTAACGTTGCGCCACTTAAGTTTATTTATATTAAGTTACTCTCACGAGTTATTACCTTTCACGTTTCCTCCGGTTACAACACAATCCATTACGTTTTGCTTGTGAACAATATTCCTTTTAAACAGAGTTTACATGAAGTATCCAGCGCCAGGAGCAGAATCTTTAATGACAAACCACGGAATCGGCCACATGACGGCAGTGGCCATTATAACGCAAGAAATTGATCGTTAGGAGCTGTTATCTGTTATCGCGTAACATATGGTACATCATTCAGACAAAAGTAAACTTGCTATAAGCGGATAATTCAGGAATTTGGCAGGTGTGCGCCACTGTTTACTTCGAATCCGACACGCGGCGCGTGTTTTCTGCTCTGGCCAATCAGCGCGCGAGATCTCGCGTTTAGGGATATACAGCATTTGCGTCATAACAAAGCGCCCACATACAAAAGGTTACCTACAGTACATGAAACGAACAGCATACACATGTGTTAGGAAAGAGGTTAAATATGAGCAACAGGTCCACTTAAAGTTAAATGACATAACGACAATGTTAATCATAATACAATTCCCGTGACAGCAGCACCACCTCACGATTTATATTGCCTATGTTAAACCGTAAAATGTATAGTAATATAATAATAGTATGCCGCATTCTCACTTTCACGATAACACCCGTTCAAAAAAAAAAAAACACATTAAGAAGAGGAGCTTAGACTTTTCTGGCAAATTACACTGTTGCATATATAAAATTGAATTTTTTTAGGTAATAGTGTGTATTTTAGTGGAAGTTAACAATATTGTTTGATACAACACCATCAATCTGTCATTAAACTATTTAAAGTAATTAACTCAAAAGGGAACATCATTTTACATCATTAATCTAATGTCTGATTTCACATTACCATAATTATTTCATTGTAACTGCACTTCATTGTATTTTACTTCATATTATATAAATATGAATATAAATCTAGAGTAATCCACCTAAATAATACCATAATTACTACACTTCATTAGTGTACTACAACAAGTGATTTTGCATTAGAGAATTGCAGTTCATTGGCTGCTTAAAAGAAAATGAGTGACCAATAAAATGAAATTACTCAACTTTCTGAAGCAGTGACTTCATATTAAGATGTCGAAATGTTCTCAAGAAGACACAGTGTCTCAGCCATTTAGCGGCTGGTCAGAGGGAGTGACAAAAATACAAAATGTTTCATCCTGACACACTTTTCTTACCTGTCCATCTGGGTGTTGGACACACCTCTTTCTGGCTTTTGCACTATTCTTTATGACACTCCTTCCTTTTGCAACACTCAGAAATCGGGAAAGGATCAAATAGTTTGGACGGATGGAAAACAAAGAGGATCTGAATGACTGATGGACATAAATACTTCTGTGGACTAACATGATGACATAAATGAAGGATCTATGGGACTGTACAGCTCTACCAGTAACTATCATGGGTGAAAGTTGAGCGTCTAGAGCGAGTCTGCTTGAATGCTTACACTTACCCAATATCTGAGTTGTCTCTACTCATGTGTGCGCATGTGGTACCATAGAGTCCAATGGCGAAGTTGGACCCTGTCTCAGACTCTCATGCCCTACTGGAATCTATGCTTCACAAATTACGACTGAATATATGTACGACTGACCAACAGTAGCTCAGTCACTGATATGCAAACATGCAGTCCGTCTGGAGAATGTAATGCTGAACCAGTGGAAGATTCATCTAAAACAACAATTGATCAGTTTGGGTTTTCTTCCAACAGTAAAAAGCAGGATGGACGCGCCTCAGTCTGGAATAAATGGGAGAAACCTTGGACTCAACAGTCTTCTCATTTTGAGGATGCATTGACTTCTGTTCCTAAACAACCTGTCAGGAAGATCAGTAAGCACAACGCAGGATTCTCTGGTAGACCTAAACGTCCACCATTGATTTGGGGGGAACACAAGCGCTTCACATCAGAGAGGACGGGTGATGTCACTTCCTGGGTTGGAGACGATCAGATGCCGGAGAAGAAGCAACATTTTTCTTTGGAAGGGGAGACCAGCTCAAATGTGCCACCTTTATACAAAACAGAATCCTTCCAAAACCCCCCTGATCTTTTAGCTCCAACGCTAACAACAACATCTTCAGTCCTCAAAAAACAGAGGTCAGAGGTCAAAGTGGCACATGGAGTTGGCGTACTGTGAATGAGAAAAATGAAAGCACCAGATTTCATGAGCAATCAGGAAATACGCCAAAGACAAGTAGAAAGAAGTGGGGGGAGGCTAAAAGGTGGGCTCAGAATGTGAAAGAGAGATGGAGAGAGAGACACAGAAACACACTGACCAGACAAAGAGATGATGGAGAAAGACAAGTGCAGAGTGAAGTACAAGTGAGTATTGGAGTCAGTCAAGCCAGTTTGGGACAAGTTCTTTGTCTATTAGTGGTGCTTAATTACATCAATATTGATACAGTGAGCCAAGCACTGCAAAAATATTAAATTAGCCTCATGTAAAGATCAAGACTATTAATGGAATGACCGAATGCATGATCCTCCCCAAAAAAATCTGTTTGGCACGTTGGTGTACGCTTACAAATCGCACATGGGACTAATTAAACTCAATAATAGTGCCACATTGCCTTTGTTTTAAACATCAAACGTCTTTAAGTACTGGACTGATGCGCAATGACTGGTGGGTAAATTTCCTTCTCCACTTCCTGTGAAGTGATGTATCGATGTACACTTATTCCCTATGCCGTTCACAGTGCCCTTCAAACTAAACATGTTCGCTCCCTTCAGACTGGAATCTCACTTAAGATAGCAAAGTCCACTTTGAAGTCCACTTACAGTCAAACGGAATACACCTAATGTGCTAAAAACATCAAGAATGCCTTAGCAACCTAGCAATGCCCTAGCAACTCCATAATGTGCTAAAACCACCGAGAATGCTTTAGCAACCTTACAGCAATGTGCCAGCATTCAATCACCCAAACAATTCGGCATCATGGCTGAGACTTTTTAAAGGGTTAGTTCACCCAAAAATTAAAATTATGTCATTAATTACTCACCCTCATGTTGTTCGAAACCCGTAAGACCTTCCTTCATCTTCGGAACACAATTTAAGATATTTTTGATGAAATATGAGGGCTCTCTGACCCTCCATTGACAGCAAGGTAACTACCACGTTCAAGGTGCATGGTACTGTCGTGAACGTGCGTCCAAAGTGACGCAGTAAAGATGAAAATGTGGAATAAAGTCGTTATTTTTGTTTTCTTTGCTTTCTCGTAGCTTCGTAACTTTACAGTTGAACCACTGATGTATTTGTCGACATCTTGGTACTTTTCTTGACCTTGAACATGGTAGTTACCTTGCTGTCTATGGGAGGGTCAGAGAGCCCTCAGATTTCATCAAAAATATCTTAAATTGTGTTCTGAAGATGAACGAAGGTCTTACGGGTTTGGAACAACACAAGGGTGAGTAATTAAAGACAGAATTTTCATTTTTGGGTGAACTAACCCTTTAAGGGCAAGCACAAGTAAAATCTGGAATTATTTTAAAAGTGAATGTCCTTTATGCTTATATTCAGAGTAATTGCTCTTAGTTATTGGTGCCCATCGATGTGAACGACACACCTACAGCACTCACTGAGACTACAGAAATCCATCATGAAGAGATCAACACAGCGCTGGCTGAAGATGGCCCTGGTTCACTAAGCTACATGAGGTAAACACATCAGCCAATGACATTAGAAATATGCATCAGACATAGTTATCATTCCACGTGTGTGATCCATTAATCACTTTCTATTTCAGAATCAGAATCAGAATGAGCTTTATACAATACAAAATATATATTGTATAAATATACTTTATATGATACAATTTCATGTGAAACTGTCTCATCGAGAAAGAATGTGTGACCCCTTGGGGCTAAAAGAGTAAAATGATCTATTGTAACTATTAAAGCCACATCCTGGTTCAGGTGGTTTTCATTGGTTGTATTTGGCATTCTGTTTACATGATCTTTCATCCTTCTTGTCAGTGACAGTCTGTTCTCTTTTGGGACTACTTCTAATTTAATGGAGGAGATCTTCAGCGGGACGGAGTGGGCTCGGTATCACTCAGTTAACTGCGGCAAACCGGAGCAATCAAACGAGTTACCAAATACTAATAACCAATCACATGAAGAAGAATTGCCAAGTAAATGGACTCATAAAGACCCAACCGATTCCCATTTAGGTTGGACACAACCGCCACACCTAGAGAGCTTTGCACAAGACATGGCCTCCGATAAACAGACCGAGACGTCCCAAATGAGTATTACTGATCTCCCCACAAATCCACTACAAACTTCTGACCCGTTTATAGATCAGTCACAAAACATCAATCTGAACCCCAACAAATCTCACAACAGTGAGCAATCAAATGGACAATCACAGTTTTCCCAGCTTGATCCGAATGAATCAAAGGCAACTGAGCATAGTGATCAACAGCCGACGTCTAATCAAGTGTCCAGCCCCAGTCATAACCAGCCAGAAGGTGGGACGAAGGATTTTATTCCCCTCCTTGACGTTTCAAATGTTAATGTGAGAGTATAAGCATTATAAGCAGAAACAATACTTTTTTTCTTGTGTTATTAGTATTAAAAATATTATTTCTTGTTTCCTCCTTTTCTCTCAGTCAATGAAAAGATTGTCCTTAACATCCCACGGATCTCTGAGCCGAAAAAGAGAGCACTGGACGAAAAGGAGGGCATCGTTTGAGCACACAACACAAGACATGGAGGACGAGGCACAGCCTTCAAACCCTTCAGCCGCAACTTCCCTCAACTCGCTCCTGGACTCCATCTCTCAAGACTCAGAGTCTTCTGAAACTTTGGAGACTGTGATCAAAAAGGTAGGCTGTACTATATGTCAGAAGCTAATGTGCATTCTGATAAACCAGTTTTTAACTGATATATCAACTGACTTATCAATATTAAGATCAGGTTTTGGTTTTTGGGTTTGAACATAAAGGGAGTTTGTTACTACAGAGGCACATGTGTTACTATGTTAAGATGCTTGTGGTTTTAGTGCCTTTGTTGAATTAACTGTTGGGGGGTGCTGAATTTTCAGCTTGTCGTGTGAACAAGGCGCCTACAAAAAATATTTTTCGGACAGATACTGTAGGTCATATTGTGTGATTAATGTGTGACGTAAGAAACTTACTGATATGAGGGCCATCCTTATTAATTTTAGCTTGTACACCACCATTCAAAGATTTGGAGTCAGTAATTATAATATTACAAAATATTTCTTTTTCAAATAGATGATGTTCTTTTGAACTTTGTATTGATCAAAGAATCCTTAAAAATGTAGTACAGTTTCCACAAAAATATTAACAGCTGTTTTTAACAC